AATAAGCTGTGTCAGATTCGATCAACTAAGCCAGCTGGCGCTAATCATACGGAAGGAGCGTTTTCATCGATAGCTGCTGACTGTGACGCTTTTCCCATGGTTGCGCATTGCTTAGAATAACTCGGCCCAGTAGGCTTTGGGAACTCGTCTTTGGTGGCTCTGGTACTAGTTGCTTATGCCGGAAACTGTTTGATTAGTAGAAATCCATGACTGGATAAGGCCTGCTGAGGGCATTAGCACAAGACATTTCCAAGAAGAATTTTTTGTGGTAGCACCACTCACAGAACGGCCATCTGCGCCAAGGCGATTCCAAGCACCGGTTTGTATACTTTAGCTGCCGCAGCTTTGACCAGGCCGTATCAATTAAATTGTTGTCGACATATGCTGAAGCAGTGCTTGTCTTAGTTTTATATGCTTTCTACACCTGTCCGTTAAGCTAGTTTGTGCTGGCGGTGCTTACTCCGATTCTGCTGCTGCTACTAGAGCGCTGTAGCAACGTTTCCAAGCTCCGACAGGTGCTGTTATTCGATTCGGATCGCTACCCTTGCTCGCTCCCGACAAAAAAAGTCCTGTTTTTTTCCACAGATTTTTTATGGATTTTTTTGTGGATAATTTATATTTTCTTGTATTCCTATAGAAGATTATGGCTGGCTACCATCATTCGAACCTGATGTCAATCGGAGGCAGTTGCCGGCAACATTTCCGCGTAAAACGAAAATGAAGAGTCGTTTAGAAGGGATCGAGTGTTTTGAAAAACTCTGTTTGAAAATCCTATCAATCACCACTGAAATGCCTTCAAAACTAACAAATATCGAGGATATCATCGTGAGTCATTCTTGCGCTTTCTGCGAAGTATCTTGTGCGGGGATACGCAACTGCAAGCAGGGAAAGTTGGGGTTCTGCCGAATTCGAGTTTTCTGTTAGGACATTTACAGCAAATACAGGGAGCAATTGGTAGGATGAGCAAGTTCGTGATACCAGGCACTCTCAGTGTCGTGTTTGATGCACTATGCCGAGACAGTTCCAGAAGGAACTTCACAGTGATAATTTTTACGAAGGAAATATCTTGTTTACAGTCAGTTTCGTACAGTACTGCTTAAGTTTTAGA